TTTAATTTAAATAATTTCAAATAATTTCTCGTTCTTATCCCAGATCCGTCAAAAAGTATAAAAGCCGAAGAATCGGCCAATAGAGGTTCTCACTTCAGCTTTGATACGAGAAGCACCTCTTAAAGGCTTTATCCGCACTGCCTCGGGATCTTGCAAGCCTCTGCCTTCTCCTGAAGTCGTCGCCTAGCCACGCCTACGCCTCCACCTATTAGTGCCCGCGCTATCTTCGGCCGCTGAGCGTGCTTGTCTCAAGCGCTGCGTGTTCCTACTCCAGACGCTGCGTGTCTCCGGCGCTCCGGGCGCTGTGTGTGTCTACTCCGGGCACTGTGTGTGTCTACTCCGGGCGTTGTGTGTGCTTACTCCGAGCGGTGTGTGTGTGCCTACTCTAAGTGCTGCGTGTGCCTGCTCAATACGCTGTGTGTACCTACTCCAGACACTGCGTGGACCTACTCCAGACGCTGCGTGACTACTCCAGGCGCTGTGTGTGTCTACTCCGGGTGTTGTGTGTGCTCATTCTGGTCGCTGTGTGTGCCTACTTCAAGCGCTGCGTGTACCTAGATTAGGCGCTGTGCATTTACCACAGGCATAGCCTGTACATACATTGTTTCCGTACTCATTTATCTTTATTAACTTTTATTTTTTTTAAAAATTGTAATTCACTATCATCACTACAGCCCATCATCACCCCCATACCTTTTTTTTTATATATAAAAAAAAAGCTGTAAATATCTTTACAATTTTTTAAATAAATTATTTTCTTTTTTGGTTGTTTCGTTGTTAGGTTAGGTTCTATAGTTTTAAATTGTGGCTTTACATTTTATAAAAGAAACTGTAAATATCTTTACAAATTTTAAATAAATTATTTTCTTTTTGGTTGTTTCGTTGTTAGGTTAGGTTCTATAGTTTTTAATTGTGGCTTTACATTTTATAAAAGAAACTGTAAATATCTTTACAAATTTTAAATAAATTATTTTCTTTTTGGTTGTTTCGTTGTTAGGTTAGGTTCTATAGTTTTTAATTGTGGCTTTACATTTTATAAAAGAAACTGTAAATATCTTTACAAATTTTAAATAAATTATTTTCTTTTTTGGTTGTTTCGTTGTTAGGTTAGGTTCTATAGTTTTTAATTGTGGCTTTACATTTTATAAAAGAAACTGTAAATATCTTCACAAATTTTAAATAAATTATTTTCTTTTTGGTTGTTTCGTTGTTAGGTTAGGTTCTTTAGTTTTTAACTGTCGCTTCACGACATACTTTAATGGTGACCACCGTGGGTTTTTAGCTAATGGAAGTCTGGCATAATCTTTCCAATGCCTTGTGATGGAATTGTCCTTGACAATATCCCCACGATAAAAAAAAACTTATTTTTATAGTATAAGAGGTAACTAACAGGTGACAAACGAACACAGTATACTGATAATTATGATGAATTACGTAACATAAGCAACTATCAAAAACCTTGGTTCACGTTTCATTTCATCACTTCATAGCGGTTATAATGTTCATGTGCATTTTGATTCTTAATCGAGGATAGATGTAGGTGTCTATGGGCCACAGCATTCACTTACCACCAGGTAAATTGTGTGCTCGTTTGTCACTAATTCTACAAAGTCTTATCATGGAGCAAAACTCCTAGCCTACAATAAGTCTTCAACTTTCTCACAAGGCCAGCAATGAAGGGCCACGGCTCGGATCCATATGACATCACTGGCAAACCTGGCTGTACTAGTTGCGTACAACCAAAGCAATAATGTACTATTGCTTTCAAGTTTTGAGATATAAGTTAGTAAACTATTAATCTGTGATATAAGTGACGGGATGTGTCTAACGAACGAGTTGGATCTGTCGATTGACCGTACGGTTGAACAATAGTCGGACAAATTGCCCTAGGTAAACATACTCGTCAACAATTTCCAGTTTCCAACATCTATCAGCATATGCGTGATGTGATGTTACACTTGACCTTTGTTTTGTCCATGTTCGTTTGAAGACTTATCTGTTGGGAGAAATTGTTGAAGTCATTAAGCATAGAGCTGAGGTCTTCTAGTGATTCTGCCGTAATGACTATATTGTCCGCAAATTGAAGTTGAGTGATATACTTCATACCGTAGGATTCCAGTCCAGTAGCTTGAAAAGGTTTTCTTATGTGGCAGTAAGAGCTTCAGTTATATAACATCACCATGTCTTCTTACTGGGTTACTGGTTCTGCACTGTGATACTGATAGTCATCGTATCCCTGTACAAACGCGGGCTTTAATCATATTTAAATTTATTTGAAAACTTTATAGCTTTTTTCGAATTATCAAGTTTTCACCATTTACAAAAGCATGGTAGTTTTATTTCAAACATATTATCTCGCTATATATTTGTGTTCTTTGACAACGTGAGTGAATGTCTTACGGTCTGGCCACGGGGATCGGCGGCACAAACGACAAAGCAGTGTTGCCAACATTAAAATCTAGCTCCCGTTGTAGAGAACACTATAATCCCGTCAAATCCCGTAAAGTACGGTAGACAAGTGTCAATCATTCATTTCTAGTGATCGAATCATTCAAGTACATTTCGTCACGCGTACTGGTACATTCGGATCGATCATTCAAATGAATCACTTCGGGCTCCAGTACTCTGGTGAGTCTGTGAGATCCATTGGGAACCGAACATTTTCTATTTTAGATTTGCAATAGCGCCATCTACTACATGCTATAGGTAATAAAGTCATTTTATCGAACTAAAACATATTGACTTTCAAGGATATCGCAGGTTCACGGGATATGCGACTCAAACAGTAAAGAGAGAGAATGAAATAAATACAGTAGTTGATAGTTTTCTATATATTCAAAAGTAGCGCATCATTTTGGCCGACCAACGACAAATCAGTTTCCGAGCTGTATTTAAAATAATTACGTCAAATAAAAATTTACTCTCTGATCTTTTTAAAGATAAGAATATATTGCACATTTTTTATTTTTACACGAAAAAAATGATAATTAAATTTTTGCCATTTCCAAATTATTTTTATTTCTAAAAGAAATCTAAAAAAACATAATTTTTTTGTCCCGTTAAAAATCCGTTAGCCGTTAAACACAATTTTTTCCTGTTGCCAATCTCGCTGTCCCGTCAAATCTAACGGGAAATCCGTCCAGTTGGCAACACTGCGGCGAAGCGACAGGCGGGGCGACAAACCGCGCGGCGCGATTTGAGGTCCACGGGCGGTCACGTTTGCCGCCGCGGCCAGATAGTCCGAGAGTGAAATGTCTTTATCAAAGTTATCTCGATATTGCTTAGAAAGTAATTGTTTTTTGATTCAAGACATAATATTTGGAAGAGATTGCGGAGTACATGATTTGAATAGGAATCGGGTTATATATATGGAGAGTTCACAGCATATAGAAAAAAATTTCGAGTAAATACCAGAATGAGTGTCGAAACCTGCGATTATATTCTTGTTAATATTCACGCAGAATTGGAGATAAAAGTCAATGCGGATAGAATTTTAAGTTGTTTTTGTCGGCCCGGCATTTTTCGCGGCGAAAACAGCTAAAGTATTTTGTTCCCTGTACTATTCGCCGCGTCTGCCGCCCGACTCCGTGGCTTGCACCATACTGATCGCTAGGTCGCGACCTTGTCGCTTCCGCACCGCTGTGTAGGGATTTGTATGGAACACTTTCCGAAGCACGCGACAGTGCGGCGCGGCCGGGGGTGTGGTGGGCGCACGACGCCGGCAGCGTTGCCGAGCCGCTCCGGAGGCAGTGTGGCAGCACTACCGGCAGTTTTTTTACTTAGTCTACAGTACTTCCAGAATTTCTTTTCTTTTGCTTTTAAGTGTTTATTGATTAGAGCGATCGCGCGAATCGCCCGGTAAATTTCGCCACTCGCCGCTACGCGTGGCTTGATCCATACATTCCTATACATTTGTTTTAGTCGCTAGACGCTTCGCCGTTCGCGCCGCGCGAATTTTCGCTACGGCGAATGTCCCGTGGCCAGGCTGTTTCGTAAGGGCCTCTTCTCTTTTTAATTTATCTGTTGGTTTGTTTGTGTGTGAACGCGAGTGCGCGTGCACGTACGTACATAGATGTGTGCGTACGTGCAAGCGTGTACTTTTACAGCACAATAAAATGGAATCATATTCTTGTACATATAAATGTCTCAGTACAAATAAAACATCGGTTTATTATATGGATTTATTTTCGAAAATGACACAATCAGTAACATTCCACTCAGTTGTACTTAGTCTGGAAATAATTTAAGCACAGAGAGTAATCAATCAACACTTTCACATTTATAATTTTGGTTTATTTTTTGTATCTAACAAACAAATCATTGATTTAATGAAAATGTTATACAAGCAACTAAAATTAATTAACAGTAAGTATATTGATAACTTGTCTTTGACAGTTGTCGACCCGACTAGTTTTTTTACCGAATAACCAAGATCAACAATAATACACAGAGCGCTGATGAAGTACGCTTTTAAGTGATGCCAAAACCATGCTCCAATTCCTGACGCGCAATCACGCACAAATCTTTCCTCTCTCTTTCTTTATCAACCTATAAAAGTTAACTTCAGAACACACACACGTGCACCTAAAACCAGGTTGATTGCAAATGATTTACGACACATATGTGTGCGATAGTACGTGTTTTTACAATACGTTGAGTATAGTATTGGCTTGGTATTTGTGCCACTTAAAATGTATGCAGCATCACAAAAAAGTAATTTTATGATTGATTGATAATAGTAATAAAAAAAAAAACAATTAGATCTTCATATGGCATTATTTAGAAAAACACTATTTTTAAAAGTTTTGCTTGAGACTGCTATATTGTAAGAAATATTTTCACAAATCTCTAAAAATGAATAATCAACTAATAGAAAGAACTATTTAAAACAGTATTTTTGTATTTGTTTATTTCTTTCAATTTTAATTACAAATACATTCACTAAGAACATTAATTAAGTAATGGTGTTATTTTATGGATAAACAAGAGGTTCTGTAAAACTAGACAATGCTCAGCTGATCCTTGAGGAGTTTGGTTTCTTCTATGAGGGAAGATATTTGACTGGTTCTGAAACAGATTTTCAGTAATAGTTCAGAACGTAATCATAATTTCATACAACGTAGTCATGATTTCAAGTGGCAGATGTCTTGCTTTATCTTACCGAAGTAGGAGTGAGCACATAGTTCACCTGATAGTATTTGCAGAGGTCCACAGACTAGACATCTACATCAATCCTCAATTAAGAATCAAAATGCAGATACGTTGTCCCCCTAATTAAGAAGAAAAGTCTCGTTAACAATCTAAAAGGATCTGTTCTCTACACTCACCATACGAAACGAGCAGCACGCTTTTATGACGCTGATCGATTAACCAGTTAACACTTACAGGAAGTAGATAATCATGAGTCTCAAAAAGCAGTTATACTCGTTATTATTTTTTAAAATATTTTGAAAACTATCAACCCCATTCCCTTCCGTCGAATATGCCGGATAAATCTTACACCTTTCAAAAGATGGTGCTATGGTACCATCTACGTTTGCAGCGGTTCTAAATCTAAAGGGTTTAAAAAAAATTTAAAACAGATTATACAGATAAAAAAGAAAGTGTAATTTTGGCTAACTTTAGTGAGCCTGGTAGAGCCACGCTGCAGCTATATTTGCTTGTTTTACTGATGGGTCGACTCGGCTAGGGAAGGACCACGCTCACAGTATACCAGCGTGAAATAGCAGCTTGATGCTGTTTTGTTTATAGCAGCTTAATGCTGTTTTGTTTCGTATGGTGAGTGTAGAAAACCAGAGACCCTTTTCACTGGAAATGGTAGGCATTCCATCTTAGTCATCGGTGTCATAAGGGGTTACTATACTTTGGGAAATGTAAGAAAAAGCTTGTAGCATCCGCTAGATGGCGTTACAACAATCGTATTTATGACAGTCGTAAAATTTAGTTCCGTGGGTGTCGTAAGAGGCGACTGTAAGATATGCTAGAAAAATCATTTAGCTTCCGACAGATGGCGGTATAACTATTTGGTATATTACGTCGAGTCGTCGATGTAATACACCAAACGCCCAAACCAGGGTCGAGCAGCGTCAAAGGTGCTCACGTCGATCGTCAATCTGCCGGTCAGGTGTGATGATTGAAAATCAATTTATTGGGTCAGAGAATCAAATAAAAGTTAGAACAGATAATACAATAAAGACGATTTACGTACGAACATTTATTTCACAATGGCGGACAAATAGCAAAATTTATACATACATACACATACTACTAAACTATCTGTTACATTAGACATATTGGCTTACGATCTTCGCGATTATTTCATCACCACAACACCCCCATATCATTCCGTGGGTGTCGCAGGGACGAGAAAACGAACCAGGAGATGGGCAGCAGCATCCTTACAATAGCTGAATAAAAATAACAAATTTCGGTTTCCAGGCGTGGCAACTTGGCAAATATACTACCTATGAGGCATTCTATGGGGAGATCTATATTTTTTAAAGTCTGTAATGATTATTGGTAATCTACAACGGGAGTCCACGTACAGTAGTGCACTCTTACGGGCTAATGAAACAAGGAATTAGGGATTATAATTGAAAGAAGTTGATTTGGAAATACTTACTGTTGCTGCAGTATGGAGGATATGGTGTCGCTATGGGACTTTCCAAGCGCCGTGTCCTTTTTCTTGTACTCCTCGTGCCACCTTTTCAACTGAAATGAAAGGTTGAACGTTATTTAATAGAAAAAGGGTGACACGAGCACACAGTTCACTTGATGATAAGTGGATGCTGTGGCACGTAGACATTTAATCTCTTACAATCTATATGTAGATGTGTTTTCGCCCCTAAGGACTAAACTAGAGTACCTCGTTGCTAGCTATGGTCTCCGGTTCTCCGCACCACTGTATCAGCAGCATTGAACTGCAACTTCACACTGGTTGGTCACTCGGTCGAGCCGTCCCATTCGTGTTACAACCATAATATAGCTGCAGCATAGCTATACCACATATAAAATCATATAGTCATCGTATTTGCGTAAATCTATAGTATATAAAACTATAGTATAGTCTATATACAAAGTATGAGTATAAACTCGACATTGTTTCTGAATCCTGAAACCGAGTAGAGGCTTTGCACACGTGAGCCGACAAGTGGCTATTAGATACACTATTTAATTGAAATACTTTTAAGAATTGTTCAAACATATGTTACTATGGTAAAAATGGGGGACACTTGACACCTATGACCTATAAGGTTGTAGCGAATACGCGAACAGACTTTCAAGTAACGCGTCCGCCAGAACGTAGCATAGAATCACGCCACTGTGACGTCACGTTCACCTGATGTCGGACGACAGTATTATATGGCTTCACTTCCGCAGCGTTTAAACAATATGGCGCCTTGTGCGACTTTCTTTTGTTCTAATGCTTTATTGCAATATGTTCGAGCGTGAGCTTTTCGTTTTTGGTTAAGTGGCCATGTGTTTTCGGCCTCACTGCGCTTCTACATAGTCAATTGCGAAAAGTAATTTTTATTAATAATTTTTTTTGATAATTAGCTGGTACTTTCGAACACTTAATATCTTCTGTTTTTGGTATAACTTTGCATTGCACCTGAATTCTTAAGTATATAAATTGTATTAAATTTCGTCTGCGCTTTTAATTTGAAATTTTTGCTAAAGTAATAGTTCCTGGCTGGTCACATAGTAGTAGGTGGCATATCGACATCTATCCACAATTACCAGTGGTTGTGTTGCGCGTGTTACTTCAGCAGCTGGATCTGCTGCTAGACACTAGACAGTAGTTAGCACGTCAGTACTGCAGTAGTAACTCATTGGAGTTGTGTTGCGCGTGTCGCTTCAGCAGCTAGATCTGCTGCTAGACACTAGACAGTAGTTAGCACGTCAGTACTGCAGTAGTACCACATTGGAGTTGTGTTGCGCGTGTCGCTTCAGCAGCTAGATCTGCTGCTATCAGCAGCTAGATCTGCTGCTATCAGCAGCTAGATCTGCTGCTATCAGCAGGATCCTCACACTAGACAGTAGTTAGCACGTCAGTACTGCAGTAGTACCTCATTGGAGTTGTGTTGCGCGTGTCGCTTCAGCAGCTGGATCTGCTGCTAGACACTAGACAGTAGTTAGCACGTCAGTACTGCAGTAGTACCTCATTGGAGTTGTGTTGCGCGTGTCGCTTCAGCAGCTGGATCTGCTGCTAGACACTAGACAGCAGTTAGCACGTCAGTACTGCAGTAGTACCTCATTGGAGTTGTGTTGCGCGTGTCGCTTTAACAGCTGGATCTGCTGATAGACACTAGACAGTAGTTCTGGATCTGCTGGTAGACACTAGACAGTAGATAGCACGTCAGTACTGCAGTAGTACCTCATTGGAGTTGTGTTGCGCGTGTCGCTTCAGCAGCTGGATCTGCTGCAAGACACTAGACAGTAGTTAGCACGTCAGTACTGCAGTAGTACCTCATTGGAGTTGTGTTGCGCGTGTCGCTTCAGCAGCTGGATCTGCTGCAAGACACTAGACAGTAGTTAGCACGTCAGTACTGCAGTAGTACCTCATTGGAGTTGTGTTGCGCGTGTCGCTTCAGCAGCTGGATCTGCTGCTAGACACTAGACAGTAGTTAGCACGTCAGTACTGCAGTAGTACCTCATTGGAGTTGTGTTGCGCGTGTCGCTTCAGCAGCTGGATCTGCTGCTAGACACTAGACAGTAGTTAGGACGTAAGTACTACAGTAATACCTCATTGGAGTTGTGTTGCGCGTGTCCCTTCAGCAGCTGTATCTGCTGCTAGACACTAGACAGTAGTTAGCACGTCAGTACTGCAGTAGTACCACATTGGAGTTGTGTTGCGCGTGTCGCTTCAGCAGCTAGATCTGCTGCTAGACACTAGACAGTAGTTAGCACGTCAGTATTGCAGTAGTACCTCATTGGAGTTGTGTTGCGCGTGTCGCTTTAGCAGCTGGATCTGCTGCTAGACACTAGACAGTAGTTCTGGATCTGCTGGTAGACACTAGACAGAAGATAGCACGTCAGTACTGCAGTAGTAGCTCATTGGAGTTGTGTTGCGCGTGTCGCTTCAGCAGCTGGATCTGCTGCTAGACACTAGACAGTAGTTAGGACGTAAGTACTACAGTAATACCTCATTGGAGTTGTGTTGCGCGTGTCGCTTCAGCAGCTGTATCTGCTGCTAGACACTAGACAGTAGTTAGCACGTCAGTACTGCAGTAGTACCACATTGGAGTTGTGTTGCGCGTGTCGCTTCAGCAGCTGGATCTGCTGCTAGACACTAGACAGTAGTTAGCACGTCAGTATTGCAGTAGTACCTCATTGGAGTTGTGTTGCGCGTGTCGCTTTAGCAGCTGGATCTGCTGCTAGACACTAGACAGTAGTTCTGGATCTGCTGGTAGACACTAGACAGTAGATAGCACGTCAGTACTGCAGTAGTAGCTCATTGGAGTTGTGTTGCGCGTGTCGCTTCAGCAGCTGGATCTGCTGCTAGACACTAGACAGTAGTTAGCACATCAGTACTGCAGTAGTACCTCATTGGAGTTGTGTTGCGCGTGTCGCTTCAGCAGCTGGATCTGCTGCTAGACACTGGACAGTAGTTAGCACGTCAGTATTGCAGTAGTACCTCATTGGAGTTGTGTTGCGCGTGTCGCTTTAGCAGCTGGATCTGCTGCTAGACACTAGACAGTAGTTCTGGATCTGCTGGTAGACACTAGACAGTAGATAGCACGTCAGTACTGCAGTAGTACCTCTTTGGAGTTGTGTTGCGCGTGTCGCTTCAGCAGCTGGATCTGCTGCTAGACACTAGACAGTAGTTAGCACGTCAGTACTACAGTAGTACCTCATTGGAGTTGTGTTGCGCGTGTCGCTTCAGCAGCTGGATCTGCTGCTAGACACTAGACAGTAGTTAGCACGTCAGTATTGCAGTAGTACCTCATTGGAGTTGTGTTGCGCGTGTCGCTTCAGCAGCTGGATCTGCTGCTAGACACTAGACAGTAGTTAGCAAGCAGTACTGCAGTAGTACCTCATTGGAGTTGTGTTGCGCGTGTCGCTTCAGCAGCTGGATCTACTGCTAGACACTAGACAGTAGTTAGCACGTCAGTACTGCAGTAGTACCTCATTGGAGTTGTGTTGCGCGTGTCGCTTCAGCAGCTGGATCTGCTGCTAGACACTAGACAGTAGTTAGCACGTCAGTATTGCAGTAGTACCTCATTGGAGTTGTGTTGCGCGTGTCGCTTTAGCAGCTGGATCTGCTGATAGACACTAGATAGTAGTTCTGGATCTGCTGGTAGACACTAGACAGTAGATAGCACGTCAGTACTGCAGTAGTACCTCATTGGAGTTGTGTTGCGCGTGTCGCTTCAGCAGCTGGATCTGCTGCTAGACACTAGACAGTAGTTGGCACGTCAGTACTGCAATAGTACCTCATTGGAGTTGTGTTGCGCGTGTCGCTTCAGCAGCTGGATCTGCTGCTAGACACTAGACAGTAGTTAGAACGTAAGTACTACAGTAATACCTCATTGGAGTTGTGTTGCGCGTGTCGCTTCAGCAGCTGTATCTGCTGCTAGACACTAGACAGTAGTTAGCACGTCAGTATTGCAGTAGTACCTCATTGGAGTTGTGTTGCGCGTGTCGCTTTAGCAGCTGGATCTGCTGCTAGACACTAGACAGTAGTTCTGGATCTGCTGGTAGACACTAGACAGTAGATAGCACGTCAGTACTGCAGTAGTACCTCTTTGGAGTTGTGTTGCGCGTGTCGCTTCAGCAGCTGGATCTGCTGCTAGACACTAGACAGTAGTTAGCACGTCAGTACTACAGTAGTACCTCATTGGAGTTGTGTTGCGCGTGTCGCTTCATCAGCTGGATCTGCTGCTAGACACTAGACAGTAGTTAGCACGTCAGTATTGCAGTAGTACCTCATTGGATTTGTGTTGCGCGTGTCGCTTTAGCAGCTGGATCTGCTGCTAGACACTAGACAGTAGTTCTGGATCTGCTGGTAGACACTAGACAGTAGATAGCACGTCAGTACTGCAGTAGTACCTCATTGGAGTTGTGTTGCGCGTGTCGCTTCAGCAGCTGGATTTGCTGCTAGACACTAGACAGTAGTTAGCACGTCAGTATTGCAGTAGTACCTCATTGGAGTTGTGTTGCGCGTGTCGCTTTAGCAGCTGGATCTGCTGCTAGACACTAGACAGTAGTTAGCACGTCAGTACTGCAGTAGTACTTCATTGGAGTTGTGTTGCGCGTGTCGCTTCAGCAGCTGGATCCGCTTCTAGACACTAGACAGTAGTTAGCACGTCAGTACTGCAGTAGTACTTCATTGGAGTTGTGTTGCGCGTGTCGCTTCAGCAGCTGGATCTGCTGCTAGACACTAGACAGTAGTTCTGGATCTGCTGGTAGACACCAGGCCCGTGACAGCTTAGTTCCATTCTACGCAACTTGGCGCTACCGTCGCAATTTGTTCTCTGTCTACGGACGCCATTTTGAGACGCCATATTGTGTTAATGCGTCAAATCATATTGTCAAAAATCAAAATTATCGATATTGATTGCCGCCATTATTTATCCAAATTTTCCTCAATTATTACAATATTCTGTTTTTGTGTTGCTCGTGTGAACATTGCATATACCATCATAATGGTATGCGAAAACTGTTGTATTGGCAAAGAGTATAATAAGTATATACAGGAAGGTATACAGGTATATGTGTATTGGTGGTTGCAATAAAACACGTGAAACGCACGCACCGGCTTTTCAGGAACTCTAGGAACGATAATTTAAGAAACTTGCGGATGTCTTTCATAGTGCCGACAAATCCCCAGCTCATTGTACTTTCCAAAGAACAGTTACTTAACAAACGTGTCTGTGAAAAACATTTTGATATATTTCAGTTCGACAATGAAGGCAGAAGACTTTGATACTCTTACTCGTCCTTGCTTATTGACAATGAAATAGCTCATGGTGTGCCTCTGACTGCAACAGGTGAGTCATTTTATTACTTTCAACCATGGTACTTAAAGGAGAAGGACACGTCTCTATACATTCTTGGGCCCAAGTATTAAGATAAAAGTACGACCATTTGTAAGCATATACTATATAGACAATTCATAGCTGAAAATCTCGCAAGATTTGTCAATGTAGGAACTGAGTTATTGTAGAATAAGTAAAAGTGAGATTATCTATTGGCTGCACTGTAACAGGTGATTTTGCACTATTTTTACACAGTTACAGGCTATTTTTCACTATAATTACTTAAATATATAAATGCAGGATCAGTAAAAAATCACCAAAAAAGCTGTGGTTGATAATGAAACGATATGGTGAAACGATTAATGAAAGTTAATACAACAACAACTAAGTGAAGTGAATATTAGGAATTCTGATCTTATAGATGTGCCAACTTGGAAAAATTACGAATTGATTTAACTCGAGTCGAAATTCACGCAACTCGAGTTAGCAGTACGAATCAGAGTAAATGATTTGTTAGAAATTACTTTTTTATAAATTTGGTTTTCTATCTAGCTCTTTGGTGGGTTGAGATAATTATAATTACCTTTTTATACCTATTAATACTTATGTAGGATTGATATAAAAAGATATATTTAGTATATTTTTGGTTTAATCTTAGTTATAGTAAGTACTTGTATTTAACAACAAAACTAGCTATATAGCAGTCTTCATGAAATAATATTAGTCTAGCTTTAAGATGTAGGTACATAAGCTATTAATAGTTTAATTACAAAAGGTTGAAGTCAAAATATTCTTAAATAAGTTCAATATATTTATTGTGAGTTAAGTGTTACATTTGGCATTAATTTAAAGTATGATTACACTATATTGATCATAATTAATCAAAATTATAAAGGGAATTAAATTACACAACTAGCTATAATAAAATTCTAAATAACAAATTGTTTATACCAGTAATATACCTGCAGCATGGCTCTACCACATACAATTGCCATATAACTTAGTTATATGATAATATAGATCACTTTTAATTATGATTATACTAAACTGTTATTAAAAGTAGCCATACAGCATTAATACATACAATACAGAAGTATAACATTATATATTTATTCTTTAATTTTGGGTTTATGTATAAGAACATTCAAGAAGTGAGCCGTGGTAGCTCAGTGGTTAACGCTCGCTGTAAATATAACAGAACGCGAGTAACCCGGGTTCGATCCCCGCCGGCACCAATGAAATTGTTAATTGCAATTTTAAGTGCTGATTTACCACATGCTCGGCGGTGAAGAACATAAAATTCACAAATATTGTTTGTTTTCAGGAATAGAAATCTAATGCTGATGTGGTGTGACAAATGTTGCCAGAAGATAACAAAATGTACACATTGGCATAAAGGTATGATAAATTCAGTTTATTCTTAGATATAATTAGGTAAGATAAGATAACATATCCATTATATCTATATTCAGCATATCTATCCTCAAATCATGATAAGAGTTCTTTGTTCTTCATCTAATCTAAAGATTACAGTTCCACTACACTTCAATGGTTTTATCAACAACTCCTTTAGTATTAAGGTTACACTTATTTGGAACTCCGTGCCTGAAGACATTGAGAAAGCTCCTGATAATAGATGTATACCATGTTAATATTTATATGTTTTTTATTTCTTATTTACTGCATCTACCACTTTATTTTCACCACACCATGGGTTGACTGATAAAAAATGCCAACTGCCATGAAGCCACCCTTTGTTACCTTAATGTAAATAATATATAGTTTATGATTATCATTAAGTCATAAAATATGTATATTGGACTTTATTTTTATTTATTTCTTTCTGGTTATGTGGTGTAGAAAATGAAATTAAAGAAGAGAAGATGTTTTTTTTTAATTTTTGTAAAGAATGGCCAGGTGGTACCCCAGATGAAAAATAAATAGCATTGCTTCTAATAAAAAATAACTTGAAAAGTAAAATATTAAGCACTTAAATTATTCCTGTGGTTTAATTTGCTTTATTTAATGAATTATAAATATTGCTCTGTTTCTCGTCAAATTGTACTTATTTATGTAAAATGTTATGCACAATTTTCTAATTTGTTTATATAACTTAATGTGCCTTTAATTTAATCCTAAGATTACGTTTGTATGTATATGATGTTGGTGTGCTTGAATAAAAAATAAATAAGTTAGATGTATTATAATTGTTTCATTAAGTATTATTATTCCCGTATAATGCACTTATGTCGATATCGATAAAATAATAATACCACTAAACATCGATATCGATAGTTTGAAGGATGTGTGCTTGCAATCCCTAAGCTATACATAGCTATACTAAATTGTATAGTCATTACTCATCTGTCAAATTGGGCGACTGCAGCGCCAAAACGCGTAGTTGGGAAACTTGACTAAAAGTCACTGTCGTATCTGTAGCTTGCTACATATTTATTTATCTATGGTAGACACTAGACAGTAACCAGCACGTCAGTACTGCAGTAGAACCTCACTGGAGTTGTGTTGCGCGCGTCGCTTTAGCAGCTGGATCTGCTGATAGACACTAGACAGTAGTTAGCACGTCAGTACTGCAGTAGTACTTCATTGGAGTTGTGTTGCGCGTGTCGCTTCAGCAGCTGGATCTGCTGCTAGACACTAGACGGTAGTTAGCACGTCAGTACTGCAGTAGTACTTCATTGGAGTTGTGCTGCGCGTGTCGCTTCAGCAGCTGGATCTGCTGCTAGACACTAGACAGTAGTTCTGGATCTGCTGATAGACACTAGACAGTAGATAGCACGTCAGTACTGCAGTAGTACCTCACTGGAGTTGTGTTGCGCGCGTCGCTTTAGCAGCTGGATCTGCTGCTAGACACTAGACAGTAGTTAGCACATCAGTACTGCAGTAGTACCTCATTGGAGTTGTGTGTTGCGCGTGTCGCTTCAGCAGCTGGATCTGCTGCTAGACACTAGACAGTAGTTAGCACGTCAGTACTGCAGTAGTACCTCATTGGAGTTGTGTTGCGCGTGTCGCTTCAGCAGCTGGATCTGCTGCTAGACACTAGACAGTAGTTAGCACGTCAGTACTGCAATTGTAACTCATTGGAGTTGTGTTGCGCGTGTCGCTTCAGCAGCTGGATCTGCTGCTAGACACTAGACAGTAGTTAGCACGTCAGTACTGCAGTAGTACCTCATTGGAGATGTGTTGCGCGTGTCGCTTCAGCAGCTAGATCTGCTGCTAGACACTAGACAGTAGTTAGCACGGCAGTACTGCAGTAGTACCTCATTGGAGTTGTGTTGCGAGTGTCGCTTCAGCAGCTACATCTGCTGCTAGACACTAGACAGTAGTTAGCACGTCAATACTGCAGTAGTACCTCATTGGAGTTGTGTTGCGCGTGTCGCTTCAGCAGCTGGATCTGCTGCTAGACACTAGTTAGCACGTCAGTACTGCAGTAGTACCTCATTGGAGTTGTGTTGCGCGTGTCGCTTCAGCAGCTGGATCTGCTGCTAGACACTAGACAGTAGTTAGCACGTCAGTACTGCAGTAGTACCTCATTGGAGTTGTGTTGCGCGTGTCGCTTCAGCAGCTGGATCTACTGCTAGACACTAGTTAGCACGTCAGTACTGCAGTAGTAATGGAGTAGTGTTGCGCGTGTCGCTTCAGCAGCTGGATCTGCTGCTAGGCACTAGACAGTAGTTAGCACGTCAGTACTGCAGTAGTACCTCATTGGAGTTGTGTTGCGCGTGTAGCTTCAGCAGCTAGATCTGCTGCTAGACACTAGTTAGCACGTCAGTACTGCAGTAGTAATGGAGTAGTGTTGCGCGTGTCGCTTCAGCAGCTGGATCTGCTGCTAGACACTAGACAGTAGTTAGCACGTCAGTACTGCAGTAGATTGGAGTTGTGTTGCGCGTGTCGCTTCAGCAGCTGGATCTGCTGCTAGACACTAGACAGTAGTTAGCACGTCAGTACTGCAGTAGTACCTCATTGGAGTTGTGTTGCGCGTGTCGCTTCAACAGCTGGATCTGCTGCTAGACACTACACAGTAGTTAGTACGTCAGTACTGCAGTAGTACCTCATTGGAGTTGTGTTGCGCGTGTCGCTTCAACAGCTGGATCTGCTGCTAGACACTAGACAGTAGTTAGCACGTCAGTACTGCAGTAGTACCTCATTGGAGTTGTGTTGCGCGTGACGCTTCAGCAGCTAGATCTGCTGCTAGACACTAGACAGTAGTTAGCACGTCAGTACTACAGTAGTACCTCATTGGAGTTGTGTTGCGCGTGTCGCTTCAACAGCTGGATCTGCTGCTAGACACTAGACAGTAGTTAGCACGTCAGTACTGCAGTAGTACCTCATTGGAGTTGTGTTGCGCGTGTCGCTTCAGCAGCTGGATCTTCTGCTAGACACTAGACAGTAGATAGAACGTCAGTACTGCAGTAGTACCTCATTGGAGTTGTGTTGCGCGTGTCGCTTCAGCAGCTGGATCTGCTGCTAGACACTAGACAGTAGTTAGCACGTCAGTACTGCAGTAGTACCTCATTGGAGTTGTGTTGCGCGTGTCGTTTCAACAGCTGGATCTCGTCTGCGAGCGCCTCTCCGCGGCGCCGGTATCGCTGCAGCTCTTCCAGCAGCTCGCGTTCTGCAGCGCTGGGACCAGTTGATGCTCGGATGCTTCTAACCACCGCTGAACATCTGCGGAAAAGAAGAAAAGAAGTTAATGTGGCTGTGACAGCACGAGACTTTACGACATTTTAAAATTAAGAAGCGTTTGTGTTTTTCGCCATAAGAGAATCCACTGCCCCATGTCGTGCCGTGGGTATCATAAAACGAGAGGAGCAACACCATCTTATCAACAACAACTTAAAATAATAAAGAAACAGCATTGCCTGCCCGCCAATGAAGAAATTTATGGAGGAGGCCTTTTTATCGTGGAGAAATCCTCATGGATACCCTCCGATGCGGAGTTTAACCAAAAGATTTTACCGAACTTCAACCAGTTAAAACCCCACGGTGATCACCCACTATAAACACGTCCCGGGGTTTGCTTCTATTTCCCCTTGCACCGCACCCTCGCAGTGCTATCACAACGTCTCGGTACCATTTCTGAGTAATGGCCCTCCTCGGGTGTTGTAACGAGACGCTTGATGCTTATGTGATAGGCTGTTAGGACGTAAGTAAAAAAAACGAAATTTACCTGTACTTCAAGTCTTCCTGATGTTTTTCAGCCAGCGAACGTTTCTGTTTCAACGACTCTGTCTTTGCCTTGACTCGCTCGAGCTCTTCCTAAATAGAAAGTTGGAAGGTTGATAAACAATATTAGTAGTAAAGTAAAGATAATGAATAAAAATAACTATGCTATGTGATAGGACTCTTATTTACCCCCGAAGCAGAGGGGTGTTTTATATTTAACGTCTGTATCCGAGTGTCCGCCTGTTGCATGGTAGCTCCCAAGCGGATAAATTGATGTAGATTTAGTTATTTTTTGAAATGAAAACTTCTTTAGCATCGTTGTAATTTGAAAGTCTATGAAACGAAAAAGCGACAGTAAAAAGATATACACATAAATTCATAAGAATTAACGTAGGAGAAAATAAGATAGGAAGCATTTAGCTCAATGTTTGCGAGAAAAAAAGTCATAAACGCCGCCGAAACGGCGTCGCTTACGCGTTTTGTTCAACAAGGTACGAACACAGTGTATGAAGTACGAAGGTGTCGTGTGTCTATGACAAACAAGCAGTGAAGAACGGCGAAATCTCAACTTCCTAATAGGTGAAATTGATATAAATCTTTTTGTAATTAGTGTGTACTATATAAGGTATATCTAAAAGAGTATAAACATTCAAATGGAAATTAATCTACTCGTCGTAAAAATTACTGGCTATCCCGTACTTTTAAAAGTACGTTAACAATATCGAAGACTTCTTTAGATATTTTAAACATGGTCGGATTAAAATATGTCGTTTAAATAAAATAAATGAGCCCAAGTAAATTTTAATAATAAAAGAACCATCAAAACCGGTATATATATATATATATATATATATATATATATATATATATATATATATATATATATATATATATATATATATATATATATATATATATAATATAATATAATATAAAATTTTGTGTCCTGGGGGTTTATCGGTATAAATGAGCAATAAATCGATCTAGCTAGGATTCATTTTTAGAAAATGTCGTTTTATCCATGTTTTCAGACATTGAAAAACTGCTTCAATATCGTTAGAATAAGAAGGTCAATTTTGACAACACGTTAATGATTATAATAGCTCGAATAGGATATCGGGCAGTCACGAAATCGTAGTACCCTGGTTCGAGTCCGAACTTCAGCCAGACTTTTTGCATTTTTTTTCAAGTCCCCCTCTTCTTTGAGAAAATCTATTATTTCAGCCTCTCTTTTTAGTATTTTTTTAAAAACACGAAAATTTAAATTAATTGCACTCATGATTTTTTATTCAAATAACCAGTTCAATTTTTTCTATTACGTCGGTAAGATCAAAAAATATTATCATCAGTATGTAATTTGTATCTAAATATAATTCCCAAAACACGATTTAAAAAAAATACCGAGCAAAGCTCGGTCAATCAGGTACTAGATATATAGCTCGAAAAACCGATATCCGTAGGGGAAAAAAGGTTCTCGAGTGGCAGCCTCGTACCCTGTAGGGCGAACCCCTACTAGATGAAGTGACGACCTGGTAAGACATGCAGGAAGTCGATGGATGCAGGTGGCTCAGGACAGTACTTTGTAACATTACTTGGGGGAGGCTTATGTTCAGCAGTGGACTTGTGAAGGGCTGTAACGATGATGATGTTGATGAGTAATGGTCTCCCGAGAAAGGGCTGCCACGGGGCCAGCGCTGTTTGTGCAAAAGCATTCCCGTGGCGCTGCCAGCGTGCGGCGAACGTGGAACACCGCGGGGTTTTAGTCGGTGTGAGTCAGACACAACCTGTCTTTGGCCCCGCGAGTTGGGTATATATATAGGCATTTCTCCATGTTAAAAAGAAACCTATGATTTAAATAACAATGTTAAAAGGATATCCAGGTGGGGTTAAGTCTACATAAATGTATTACTCTGTTTTCTCACTGAATAAAAATAATAATAGAGTTTTTTTTTACTATTATACTAGCTTGCCAGGCAGACGTTGTTCTGCCCTTTTCGACGACCCTTTTGATATGTCATATTAAAAATCCTTAAATTCGCAAAAAAAATGATGTATCACTCATGGGCAAAAAAAAACTATCCTATCTCTCAAGTTGGACCAAACTGCACACGGTTTGCAAATTTGATTAAAATCGGTCAAGTGGTTTAGGAGTCCATCGCGCACAAACAACGTGACACGTAATTTATATATATTAAAATATCTAATGCCTATGTTTCGTTGTTCTTTCATAAATTACTTTCTATAAAAACTAAAAACTTCTTAAATTGATATTATTCAGAAAATAAATTTAATGATTATGATAAACAAAACAAACGAAGCAAGAAGACACAAAAAAATTACAATCTGTCCAATTTTGAAGAAAGAAACAGAAGAATACTGATCCTCATGTACACCTTTTAATGTAATGCCGCACACCTACCTGTTAAAACCTCACGGTGGTCACCATCAGTGTACACGAGGAGTTCCGGAATCTCCGGTCGGAATGCAATAGGGGCCCCTCTATCACTTTGTTATTAGCATTTCCCAGGGGCAGATATATCTCAATGCTGCCACGATGTCTCGAGACCACTTATGAGTCATCGTCTTCGGAGCCTGGGCAAGTGAGCGTGCGATGTGTTGCGAGTATCCTAGTGGTGTGTGTGTGTGTGTGTTTGTGGTGGGTAGTTACCAAGAGTTCATCCCTCCAACTGGAGTGATGTGAAGCCATTGCTGCGAGTGCTGCAGTCTTCCTGGCCAGCGCATCACCGGCTCGCTGCTGTCGACTCATGTACTCTCCTCGGAGACGCATAGTCGCCTGTGTCAGCAGCTGCAACCCAAAATATGTATATCAAACCAAAACAGCCTGCCAATAGTCCACTGCTGAGCATAGGCCTCCCCCATAGCCTCGTAGAAGGATATTTACCATAGTTACCACGCTTGGCAAGATTTTGATTAAGTATTGTTACGATGCCCAGTTGAGTGTCGATGGCCTCTATCAAGTTAATAAAGTGAGTATAGAAATAGACATCACACAAACTATTGATGACGGAACCTTACGACTAATACTATAAAGATTTTTCTCCTTTGATCGCGAGTGTGCTATTACCTTAAATATTATATGGATCTCAAACAATTTGCAATCAAAAACATGGTTATAGGCGCTGTAATGTTAGAAGGTGTCAATATGAGACAGAGAGACGTGTTGATGGTACTAGAACTTTAATTACACTACTCTTATTATATATGACGGAATATTAGCACCAGAAGTATGTTTAAAAACTATCGTTATTGAGATTTCTAGTTTCACTCATTATTGCTTTCTTTAATAATAAAAATCACTTATTTACTCTTAACTGATTCTACTAATCACTATTAATAATTATTCACTATTGTTCATTATTTATAGTTTACAAATTCAACTTACAGTCCGAACAGCACGACAGCTCGAGCAAGAATGAATCCTGCCCCATTTTTTTTTTGCGCCCGAAGCAAATATGGGCAACCCTCCGGAAAGCGGGGAGGGAGGCGGTGAATGCTCATAGCATACCACGCAGCCGGCTGCGTGGTTATGTGGAGACTTTTACCCACTAAACACCGCCTTTTTAGGAAATGGCTTAACGATCTGACTAGAGATCTCTAAGCCGTATACGAACGCGACCCTCCTTGGCAGAAAGGAGGGCGCATCCTGCCCCAGCCGTCGCGCGCCTTTTAAACCGAATGCAAGTGTGTGCAAGCCATCCCCACTTCCTGCGCTTTGAGAATGATTACCTTCAAATTGTTATAGCGACCACCCGCATTTAATTATAATTTGAATTAAAGCAATTTAAATTATTTATTTAGTAACAATAATCAACTAATTATTAAAATAAAGACACATGTTATGAAAATCAGGTTATAACGTTATTTCAGTAGTTGAAATAACGTCTATTAATTTTTAACTCAATAAAATTGTTTAAGTACTGCGCCGATACGTCGCTTATACTTTGTTGTGCCGATATATATATATATATTTAACTCTAATATATATCGTCGTGGGGGCTACATCACACTACAGTGCATATGTGCGCGTGTGAGCGTGTGTGCAACAGCACTCCGTGTACCTTTCTTTGTTAGTTTGAATTCCTAACCTAACTTTTAAACCCAGTTATCACCATCTTTATGCACTCTCTATTCCTTCACTCTCTTAATCCGATGGGACGGTAAACCAACACGACCGGAGAGAGATCAGGCGCAGGACCAACGGCTTAACGTGCTTTCCGAGGCACGGGGGTGAGACACCGCCAACATCCTGACTCCGGGCAACTACTGAGAATTTCTTGACTGAAAAACTCAATAATTAATTTTTTGGCCCGAACCAGGATTCGAACCCAGGACCTCATGATCAGCAGTCGCACTAATACAACCACTAGACCAACGAAGCAGTCAAGACCTACATATATAGACAATACAGACTCCAGTTTTGCATGATGACGCATCAATTGAAATAATGGCGTCACCAGTGACGGACGACGACGCATTAGACATCATAGGCTTTTTGCTCCTACTAACGCACATTTGACCGCTCATACACACGGTCAAGTTTACAAGACGCTGCAATCTTGATAAAGTCTTCAGAATCGAAACATTTTGCCTCAAGTAGACTTGTCATGTACGCTGATAGTCATACACAAGTTTATGGGACGCCGTTACAAGCGCACTGCAAACTTGACGGTAAACTAGATCGTGAATGGCATCCAAAACGGTATAATACTTTATGAACACCTTTCAACAAGTCTTTTCATTTTTTCATTATAACCTAACAAAAGTCCACGGCTAAAAACAGGCCTCCCCAAAGATTGCCCCATAAAGGGATGCATAAAACCCACACAATACCATCAAAGCACAGTATAATAAATTAAAGTGTTAACATATAACAATCTATAACCTCATTTCATCCCGTAGATGTGTTAATATATTTAATGCATCCTAGTAAATAATGTTGATTGACCAAAAATTGTTAACTGACCCGTGTACCTTGGCGGCGTAAGAGTACCAACTACACCCCATATCGTTCCGTGGGTTTCGTAAGAGGCGACGAGGGAAACACACCAGGAGATAGGCAACATCTTCTTGATTCCTGATGAGCTGCCTGCCAAACGTTGCAACTATGAAACCCGGAGGGGGGGGGGGTTGAGGCATGAGGCAATCTCCATAGAGCGAATAAAAAGATGTTCATTGTTCCATGGTCGTTATTAGTCCCCCCAAATACGGCCATACCAAGTAATATATAATAACTTAAAACTACGTCACCCGAAGGTTGCGCGTGTCATCGCCCTAGATACACTTCCGATGCACATACCTAAATGTATTCAAATAAAACATCTAAATATTGATTGAGTTTAACATCACACAATATAATGAAATATGGTAGAAAAATCTTATATACGTATCACATACTAGGTATTAGAACTCCCTTTTTGCCGAGAAGTTCGTCTGGATAGTAATCACCTTCTGTTTCTACAGCAGTGGCTTCTAACAGATGGCGGTCTCAAATAAAAGTATACATTGTTGGAACGTATTTAATTTGGTAAATGTAAAGATTATTATAGTCAACCAAATCTAAGAAATACATTTTGACAGCTGTCAGACTTACTGCACCAGGCATGCCAACCAAAAAATGGGAACGTACAATATTCGATTCTTAAAAAAATCGATATCGATTATTTAGAGTTGGTAATCATTTACTGTTTGGTTTGAATAATAAAAACGGATAATTTAAACACAAGAATTATCAGCTTCTACACATTTGTTGTTAGGTACTGCTTATTTCTAGAAGCACAGTTATAAAAATTTAAGATTGTAACTAAATTAAAAATAAATTTATTCTATCACTTTCAGTTCAACTAGTTGAGCTGTCGTTGTTTGATTTTCAATAATCCAGTCAAAATTAATGTCTCTTTCAAAGTCATCCAAAATAATTTTTTTGCTTTTCTACCACTTTTGCCCAAATATCCTTTGTGAAATGGGTATATGCTTCAACGAATATAGAAGAAACAGTCCAAAAAGTCAAAGCCGAGTCACAAAATAAGAAGACAAACACAAAATCACAAAATCATGCACAGTACACGCCCGAAATGGCGGGATATTGAAATTACGTAGTGCTTTTACATCGACGTGGCCCTGTATATTATGAGTTTTTTTTTGTCTACACAAATTTACGTTGACAAATTAAAAAAAATAACTAGTTTTATTCATAATTCGTAATTTAAGGAATTTTAAAAATAAAAATTAAATTAAACAAATAATACATTTAAAAAAATGATTCGATTATTTGAATATTTTTGCCGATTATCGGAATATTTTTTCCGATTATTTGCATAACAATTAATTTTAATCATCCAAACACCAAAATGTATATAGCGACATATCATTGAAACGAAGTTAAGTAAAAAAGTTGATACTGGTTATTTTTTAAATATTTTGCTGTGTTTGAAAGAATCGAATTTAAATTAGTGATAAAAAACTATATACATTGTAATGAAATATAGATAACTTCATAATGCTACAGATTTACGTAAAAGGTTATTTTAAATCGTGCGAGTACGCTTGTGCAAAGTTATTGCGGATTGATTAATGTGAAACGTCAAAAGGTATTTCTTAGATTTGGTTGACTATAGTGATAAACAAATATACACGCTGTAATGAAATATAGATAACTGTATAATTGTTCGGATTTACGTAAATGGTTATTTTAAATCGTGTGAGTACGCTGGTGCAGTTATTGTTGAATGATTAATGTGAAACGTCAAAAGATATTTCTTAGATTTGGTTGACTATAAAAATGATTATTTATTTATTCTTCATTGTGACACCTTACAACCTTATGGTGTACTTATGTTTATATGGTGAGTGTAGAGAAAGCCGATCCTAACAAGGTAACAAATGGGCGGATTTAATGCCTGTCGACTTTCTCTGCCATTGCCATTTGTACAATATATAGTATAAAACAAAGTCACTTACCGCCGCATACCGTGAGTTTGCACTGACGCGATTTTCACAAAAAAAAAACATGTTTTAAACACCGTTTTCTGTCAATGTATCAAAGAATATGTGCATAGTCAAAGAATATGTGGTAGTACAAAGAATATGTTTGACAGTTTATTTTACATATTTTAACTATATTACATCTTTATAACTAAAGAAGCAAAATGTTTGAAAACAAATTTGTAGAAATATTGTCATGTTGAAAGATAAGTTTGAATATCTGTTAAAAATTTTACACAGTTTTTGTGAGTACCAACGCCACCAGCAACAAAACAAGTTGTGTAATTTATTTTATGCGCTTTGTTTCAATACATTACGTGTTGGATGTTTTGCAGTGCCAACATACTGTTAGATCTGTACGCTTAGATCTTTTAAATTACGCGACGGGTTTTGATGCGGTTTTCATCAATAGACGGAATAATTCAAGAGTAACGTTTATATATAATATATATATATATATATATATATTATATTTCCATGTTGTTGTTGTGTATGTACGCTAATGATATGTATGTGTGCGCGGCTGCGCCCACAGTATGTGTCTCCAGAGTTAATAGACAGTTTGGTGTGTTGCGTACCACTTGTCTCCCGTACCAAGAATATAACAGTTGTCGAGATCAAAAAATCACCCTTGGAAGCCGGGGTGGATAGCTACTATACAATAAAACATGAGCAGCAGTCCGCCAGCGCTTCCCGCCAAAACTCCCATTCGCAAATTTTATGATCTTCGGAAATTCCCTAGTTTATATGACTCCGGTGTAAAGATCTAATGCAATTCAAGACATTACAAAAAATCGTATACCTCTAAGCACTCCTTCGGGCTGGGCTCCTTACTCTTGTTCAGGTTCAGAATGGGCTGCGATGATTCCCTCGCTAAGATCTCTTGTACAATTGATGTGAACGGCAGCTTTTGTTTCTGGAAAGAATTTGACGACATGAAGATGATTAATTTATATTATATTATATCAGGAAAATATGTTACATACAAGTGGTTATCGATATTTATTTACTCGTGTTGGTCTGGGACTTAAAAGTCCCATGTAGTGCTGGAATTAATTTGTCAACAGTGTTACTTGCCTAAATTCTCATAACAGGCGACAAATTAAATATAGGGATTTTGATTGCGAAGGCGATAGTTTACCCACCTTTACATACCTACTTTTACAATTTTCCATCTACGTCCATATTTTTATTTTTAGCAATCTGTGGTCCAAATTGCTCACTGATCTTTGTACTCTGCCTACCCACTAGGATGTTATAGGCGTGAAGCTATGTAACAAAACTAATTGTACAGCCACTTTATATCAGTAATTTTTATGCCAGTAATCAAGCCACTTATAGCAGTAACTTTCTACCATTTTCTGCTTCAGTTCCGCTTTGTCATCTCGCGATATTTCACCCGGGGTGACATGGGGTGGTTTCTTGCGCCGCCATTACACGACGATATAGTGAACGATAATAAGAACTCGTATGTTCGTTTTTTTAGCTATTAAAAAAACGAACATACGATGGGGGACAAGCGAGCACACAGTCCACCTGATGTTAAGTGGATGCTGTGGCCCATAGGCATCCACATTTATCCTCTACTAAGGATCGAAATAATATAAATTTTTAATTTATATTTATTTGTTTTAAATTAACCAATGTAGGTACATGACTATGTCTTTTCATTTAATTAATAATTTTCGCATGCCAGATGTGGTAAACATGTGGACTATATACAATATCCAATATTTGTCACCTCTGATGTACCATGTTTAAGCGAATAAAAAAAAAAAGAAACGCAGATGCGCTGCCTAAGACTAACATCGAATGCCTCGATTTCAGTAAAAACGGGTCTTCGGTTCTCTACACTCACCATACGAAACACAGCAGCATTACGCCGCTATTTTATGTCGGTATTCTTGGTGATCCCGTCCCGGCGGAGCCGACCCATTCGTGCTACAACCATATTAAAGTTGCAGCGTGGTTCTACCACGTAAACCCACGTACCAACGTAGTCGTTTAAATTAAAATAAGAGATTAAAATATATTTATTGCAATGAATTAATAAATCTAATGGGTATAAATGCAAGGCTGAATTATCAACTTGGTTTTGCGTGACTTACTGCTTCATAACCCTATTAGAAATGAGAGAAGAACCTGTGCTCAACTATACAAAGGCTAAGGTAACTTGAACTTCATATATGTTGAGGTAGTGCCACGTAACAGCTATATTGTAGTTGTAGTACGAATGGGTCGACTCGTCCGAGGAAGGACCACGCTCTCACAGAATACCAGCGTGAAATAGCAATTTAATGCTGCTGGTTTCGCATATTGAGTGTGTGAGAACTAGAGACCTTTTTTTACGTTACATATACATTTTAATTCTTATTCGATATTTTTATTCTTATTAGATAGATATAGATGTATTTTGGTACACAGCATACTGTTACGATCACTTCAAGTGAACTATGTGCTCGTTTGTCACCCTTATTCTATTTAAAACAAAATCAATAAATAGCAGTTCTTTAAAGTACACTATTACCCTAGCCGCCGGCTTCAAGGACATCACAAATGTATTGATAATAATTGCCAAGTGTAAAGTACGGTGCACATAATTTCATTTCAGATATCTCTAACCACTTTATCTAATGGTCACTAAATCTATGGTCATAAGCTTTTAAATCGTCCTAAAATAGAATAGAAGAGAAAGTTTTCTTTATTTATTACCAATTGTAAATCATTCTTATTGAACGTCATTTTTTACTTTACACCACTGGTTTGAATGAAAAACCTCTGTTCTGGGAAGAACCAGCAAGTAAACCAGGGGGACTTTTCCGCAGTAACAGTTCACCTATTAAATCCAATGCTTTTCCGTAAAGTAATATAGACAGTCCATTTGATAAAAATATAACACAAAAGTTGTGGCAGTTATGTAGTTATGTAACCGTGTAGTGGCCGTGTAAGAATATACACCCCATATCGCCCCGTGGGTGTCGTAAGAGGCGACATAGGGGAACTTAAACAAGCGATACAATTCAAAATAAAAAAAACTTAGGTTGCCAAACCGCTTGCCAAGGCTGGTAATTATGAGGCCTATGTTCAGCATTGGGCATTGCCAGTGGTGTAATGGAATGGATGGATGTATAATTATTTATACACTCATTTGGCAAAAATTCTAAACAGAAACTATTTTTCTTGATTACCGCTTTGAGCAAATTATTAAGGTCGTCTTCTTCGAGGTCGGGGTTCTTCATTTGGATTTCCTTGTAGAGCTGCTCTTCCAGATCGTACGGCTCCAGGTTTCTAGAACAAATATTATGGTAAAATAGCTTTGTTACAACGTATTAGAAGAAGACCTTAGTTCCTGTGAAGTAAAAATGATATATGTTCACTTAAAATCTCGTCTCCGTGCAGTGTCGGTGTAAGAAAAATCACTACCCCAATATTGTCATCTCGTGGAAATCGTAAGTGACGAGAGGGAAACTAAAACATGAGATGAAAAGCATCACCTTCTTGATAATAACTAAAACAAATCTGCGGTTGCCACCCACCTGCGAAGCGTGGCAACTATGGCAAGTATCTTTCCTATCAGGCAATCTACGGGGAGGCCAATGTTCAACAGTGCACTTTTGATATTTATTTATTTATTTTGCATAATATGTGTTATTATTGAATTTTAAAAACTTTTAGTATTACATAATAGTACATTATAAATTAAAATAACAAAAAATGCCAACATTACACAAAAATTAACCAAAAATATATAAAAATAAATTAGAAAGTGACCCAAGAATATAAAAACATTTACTACTATTTGCAATATTATATCATTGCGTTCCCTTTCTATATCTATGTCATCCTCTAAGTCCTCTGTCGTCCAGTGGCCTTTGTACTTAAGGCTTACACTCTGTTCGAAGGATTATCACAGAGCTTAACAGTAGGCATGGTGAGCTGTCTTTTAGTGCCTGAATTAAAAACCATAAGCTCGCTCTTCGTTATATTGTAGTTGAGCCCATTGGTCTTTGCGTAGGATTCACAGATCCCTAGCAGCCTTCTGAGTGCACCTATCGTGGGGCTCAGCAGCACCATGTCATCTGCATAGCTTATGTTATTAATGCCAACTCCGTCTATAAAACAACCGACCTTAGTGCTTCTGAGCTCCACAATCAACTGGTTTATGTAGAAGTTGAAAAGCGTAGACGAACTAAACCCTCCTTGTCTAACCCCGCATTCTAGCCCATACCCTTCAGAAAAGCTGCTACCCCATCGAACATATTTTATTTGGATACTATACTAAACTAAAATTTTAATACTATACTAAAATTTTAATACGGAGATAATCTCCTGCGGCAAATCAGTCTCCTACTTTAACTTTCGTCACAAGATATTATAAGATAAAAGCTTTTGATAGATCTGAAAAATAGGCATACATTGGCGTTTTTCTATCTGTGTACTTACAGTCTGCTTAAGACATAAAATTGCACTCTCTGTGGATAGTCCAGGTCTGAACCGTAATTGAGCATCATGCAGATGAATATACTTTTATATGAAATTAGTGAGTAGGTTTGCTTTATTATGCCCCAGTGTGGTCGATAAAGAGAAAAAGATGAAGTAGTTTTGCACCTTATGTATTTAGTTTAATTCAATTTTCATTTAATTTTTGCCCCGGGGGCCTTGGTTACAAAGCTAAGCCACTGCAAACAAACACACAGTCCACCTGATGGTTAGTGGATGCTGTAGGCCCGGTTCTCCACACTCACCATACGAAACACAACAGCATTAAACCGACATTTCACGGTTTTATTCTGTAAGAGCGTGGTCCTTCCCCGGTCAAGCTGACCCATTCATGCTACAATCATAATATAGCTGCCACATGTCTTTACCGCGTAACATGTGTAAGTGTGTATATGTGTGCGTGCATGTATAAGTGCGTGTATGTATCCGCGTGCGTGTAGTTGCGCGTGTGTAAGTGCTTGTACGTGTATGTCTGCGTATAAGTATGTGAGCGCACGTGTGTGTGTGTGTTTAGACATGTTTGGGTGTTTGTGCACGCGCGCGTATGTGTGTGCGCACGCACGTGTTGTGTGCATTTGTTCGTGCGCGCACCTGGCGAGTAGCTTGCCGTCGGCGCAGAGCACAAGCAGCAGCGGTTGCGACGCAGCGACCGTCAGCAGGCCGGTGGGCGGCCGCCCCGAGCACACCAAATGCTGGGCGGAGCTGTTGCGCGCACATACAGCCGATAGTGCGCTCTCCAGCTCCGCTGGGAACGTTATCGTTTATTGTATTTATTTATACCTATACACTACACACTTAATAAAAATATTTGTATACATATTCTATCTACACATATATCTATAGATTTTAATTGAAAATTATTTTATACACCACAAATCGTACCAGCTAAGTAGCTAAGCGGTCAGCTTAAATATCACAGAAAGCGGTAAGTAAGTATAAAATATTATCAAGACTTTATCACGTAAACTACAGTAAAAGTAAAAAAAGGTATTGTAAAAGTAAAGTTGCAGTCTATACACAGGACGTGAACTACTGTTAAAAACCTACCTCCTCTCATTTCTGAGAAAATTTTAAAGCAAGAAAATGTCCCCCGCGTTGCTCCAATGCGTGTTAACAGACATCACGTGTCTTTGAAATATTTTTTTGTCACCCTGATTCACCTCACCGCTTCGATATTCCGTCAAAATTCAAGAGCCAAACTCCTTCATAGAAAAGTAGTTTGTAAATATAAGTTTTAATGGTTTAAAGTGCTGTGGATGGGTGCGGTCGCATGCGACCGCTCGGGATTTGCCGGACGAATGCGACTGCATGGGATTTTACGGGGATTGAAGGGCTAAGATGGATACCTCATCACCAGTTCTCTACACTCACCATACGAAACATAACAACGTTAAACTATTTTACATTGGAATTCTGTGAGAACGTCGTTATGTCCCGGACGGCCGGCCCAATCGTGCTAATATCAAAATATATAGGCAGCACCATGTAATAACATTTCTTGTAAATTGTTTTTTCATATATTTTATTATTACGTGTAATCTATAAAGTTTTCTCTCATAAGCTCTCCCACAGAAGGTACTTACTCCACAGTAGGTATTAAAGAAGCATCATAGTTTTTTGATGCGAAAAAATTTACAAAATGATGCGAAAAAATTTATAAAATGTGGTATGCAGAGGTCAATTTTGCATGAATGATATTTTGTATAATTAATATGAATTTAATTTGCATATCTCTCAATAACATTAAGGCTGTATAGAAGAAATCTTACCTTCATCAGCCATAACATATTCCTTTAGTTGTTCCAGTATGGGCAAAGTCACTGTGTGAACTCCGCCCACGTGCATGCACGCGTACGTGTTGCTTGTACACTGAAATTGAAACCAATATAACAACATACATAGCAGGGTGTGGATATTAATCTTTTTTTTTTTTTTTTTTTTTTTATAGGATAGGGTGACAAACGAGCACACGGTCCACCTGATGGTAAGTGGTTGCTGTGGCCCATAGACATCTACATCTATCCTCAATTACGAATCAAAATGCAGATGCGTTGTCACCCGTGAGAACTAAGATGGAATGCCTCGTTTCCAGTAAAAAGGGTCTCCGGTTCTCTGCACTCACCATACGAAATACAGCAACATTAAGCTACTATTTCACGCTGGTATTCTGTGAGAGCGTGGTCCCTCCCCGGTCGAGCCGACCCATACGTGCTACAACTATACTACTAATATAACTGCAGCATGGCTCTACCACGTAAAAAAATCTTATAAAGACTAACCCCCTTATTCACAAACATTTTTAAATACTTGGTTAGTTAATTAGTGTTTTGTCACTTTCTAGTAACAAAAGTCTCGCAAACGTCAGAATGAGACAAAACACTATTAACTAATAAGCGTTTAAATTTTTTTATGAATAATGGGGTTAAAGTATTGTGGGCTAATTACTCTCCGCCACCAGATGTCGCTAGTTTTGACTGAGGTGATGTTATTTCTTACACAGTTTCACCATAAGTGCAAAGTTGCGATTTAAATAAAAGTTTTTGTAGTATGTAAAATATCTCAATGGTTTGCTTTTGAATTTTTCGCATATTTTTAAGTCAGTTTTTAATTTTACTACTTTCAGGATATTTCAGAAAAACATTAATCTTCACATTTCCCTCCCTTCATTAATTATGTCAAATATAACCTCATTTGTAAGTGGCGCTGCCCTGATGACAAAAAAGGGTCAAAATCAGAGGTAGAACGAAATATCAGACATGAAATGAACAGAATCAAAATTAAAATCAAGAATAAGTGTTTTTTTGCAAATAATGGTCGTAATTCGAATCTTGTAGTGTAGCTGGGTACCCTAACTACTATGCCAATCGTCAGTGGATACTTACCGGGTAGAGGTGTACAGGATAAGATTGCTGTAAGCCAAGGTCGTCCGGGTTCAGAACAACGTTCAGCTCCACCGACTCGATTACGTACAATGCGTAGCCGTCGTCGTTCTCGTTGTCCGACGGCTGGAAATTACATTATTGCTATTAATAGGGTTTCTCCTTCAGTGTTTTTCTGTGGTAACGACTTCTTATATTTTAACAGCGTTTTTCTGTGATGGTAACATGTTATATTTTAATAGGGTTTCCTGAGGTAACTACTTGTTATATTTTAATAGGCTTTTCTGTGGTAATGATTTTTAAGCTATTGCATAGCTTCTATCACGGGCCTTGAGCGCGGGGACCGAATCCAGAAATTCCGTAACGAAAAAAAACCTCACGCTCCCCACTCCGACGGGCACGGAGGTGTGGCATTGAAAGCCGTGCATCGTCTAACGTCGTTTCAGTTCGGCAGACTTCGGCACGGTGTTTGTGTGCGTGCGACTAGACGTATGCGTGTACACTAGCTGCTAACTCAATGATAAAAATTCTTGAATAACCTACATGTATTGTAAGATATTAAAAATATTTTAAACAATATTAACTTCTCATTTATTCAATAAGAGAAAAAAATTGTTTTCTTATAGGTCACCACGCTCAAAAAGTGTAACTTGATTTAATATCAAAGACTTAACTGCATAAATAAAATAAATAAATAATTATAATTGCATAAGTTGATAAAAAATGCTATGCAATAGCTTTACCGCGGCAGTCACCGAGTGCCACACGTATTTTTTATATTTGGTAGGGTTTTCTGTGCTAATGACTTGTTATATTTTAATAGGCTTTTCTGTGGTAATGACTTGTTATATTTTAATAGTTTTTTCTGTGGTAATATCTTTTTATATTTAGTAGGGTTTTCTGTGGTAATGACTTGTTATATTTTAATAGGATTTTCTGTGGTAATGACTTTTTATATTTAATAGGCTTTTCTATGGTAATGACTTGTTATATTTGAATAGGGTTTTCTGTGGTAACGACTTTATACATTTAGTAGGGTTTTCTGTGGTAGACTTTTTATACTTTAATAGGCTTTTCTGTGGTAATGACTTGTTATATTTTAATAGGCTTTTCTGTGGTAATGACTTGTTATATTTTAATAGGCTTTTCTGTGGTAACGACTTTTTATATTTAATAGGGTTTTCTGTGTTATCGACTTCTTTTGGTTTAATAGGATTTTCGGTGGTAATGACTTTATATATTTAATAGGGTTTCCTGTGGTAATGACTTCTTCCGGTCCTGGGAAGAACTATTTTTTAATAACATAAGGGTGACATAATTGATAGAATCAGGCGTTACTTTGCGGAAATCCATTATAATAAAAAATAAAAATATAAATTTCTTCGCAACCTTCCGCTAAACAAATACAATGATGTGTCTTACCTGGATTGAAGAGCACCTCCCGCCCTCCCTCAATTGCATGCATTAACTCCGTCACCACTAGTCCCAGCACCACTACTCACACACCATCGACGATAATACGACACGTGTTTCGCCTCTACACGAGGCATCTTCAGGTAATGTAGACTCTACGGCGGCTGACCGCTAATCCATGTAAGACACATCATTGTATTTGTTTAGCGGAAGGTTGCGAAGAAATTTATATTTTTATTTTTTATTATAAGGGTGACAAACAAGCACACAGTCCATCTAATGGTAAGTGGATGCTGTTGCCCATAGACCTACTGCGTTTCCTACGCCGACGATTAAGACGGAATGCCTCGTTTCTAGTAAAAAGGATCTTCGGTTCTCTACACTCACCGTACGAAACAGCAGCATCAAACTGCTATTTTACGCTGGTGTTTTGTGTGAGTGTGGTCCTTCCTCGATCGAATCGACCCATTCGTGCTACAACCGATTTAAAAATGAAGACTTACAGCGGGCAGAAGTACGCAGTGGTACAAAGCGGCGGAGCATGTTGCGATGACCACCACCAAAGTCTCGCCACCTCCCAACACGCAGATGGAGCACGATTCGGACCCGTAGTTGTCGTCCGCCGGCGGATAGATCGGAAGTGGCCCGATCAGTTTCGGTTGGAGAGGGCTGAAATTGTTTAAAGTAAAAAATAAAGAACAGACATATCAAACAAAAATACTTAACAGAATATTAAAAAAAAATGGATTGCAGAAACAAAAAGGTCACCGACTCTGCATAATGCTACAGTAACAGACTGCCTCGTTGGTCTAGTGGGCGTAAACGCTATTGTTGATCATGAGGTTCGAGTCTCGAGTCAGGCCAAAAATCAGTTATTTGGTTGTTTCTCTTAAGAAATTCTAAGTAGCAGCCCAGGAGGCAGGAAGTTGGCGGTGTTTGAACCCCGTGCCTCGGAAAGCACCTGATTTACTAGAAAGACCAGTATCAACTGTAAGATCTATTATGATCTGATTGATGATTAGTCTTGCGTCCTGTCTAGTCTCCATTAAGAGACACCGAAGTGGCCGAAATTCAGTCTGGAGGACATTGCAGTAGCGGAGTTACCCTAGCGCTGATACTCTGTCGGAGCCACGTAAGTCTACTCGCGAATGTCGACTTATGTGGCTTGAGTCGATTGACGAATTTTGATTGTGTATTTGTATTTAAATGTAAATGTAATTTTATAGCCTTGAAAACGACACCGGTAGGGAGGCTCGCAACTAGATGGAGTGACCAGGTAAGAGATGGAAGTCGATGGATGCAGGTGGCTTAAAGCCGTGTTTTGTGGCATTCCTTAGGGGAAACATATGTTCAGCTGTCGAATTGTGTAGGACTGTGATTATAATCGTGATGCGTCTTTCCTAAGGATTGAAATGAAATGACTCATAGGGTCGTTAATGTGGTAGAGCCATGATGCAGTTGTATGACGCCTTTAGCACAAATGGGTCGGCTCGTCTGGGGAAAGACGGCGCACATTATATGAGTGTGAGTGACAAGAAAAGGTAATCTTTATTACTGGTAACAAAGAATTGCATCCGAGTTCTCAGGAATAACAATGCATTTGCATTTTGATTCCTAATCGAAGATAGATGTAGGTGTCTATGGGCCACAGCGCTCACTTAACATCAGGTACACTGTGAAGAAGCCAGTAACTATACTGGTTTTAACGCACATCCAACCGGATTAAACAGGAGGTACCATGTTGCTAAATGGTAGAAAACAGTTAATTCAGCCAAAAAAGGAAAGACCTTGTCACTTTGCAATATAATCATTTTTTTCTATTGAATGAAACAAATTTTATACTGAAATTAATTAAATGTAAATTAAATAAATTTTAGATATTATTTTCATTATTTTATGAAACAAAATTTCTTCCAGATTTTACTTTATTTTTTTCCTGGGCGATGCCTAAATTCGGTAGTGGACTTGTGAATGTCGTAATGATGATGATTATGATGATGCCGTGTGGAGACATGTAAGATAACACACTCTATTTCACTCTATTTCGACCCGTGGGTGTCGTAAGAGGCGACTATAGGATATATTAGTTAGATTTCGCGTGGTTACTATGATAATGATGAGCAAAATTCGGTCATCCAGATACTATAATATTATACACACATCATACGGCTTGCAAAGCTTAGAAGAATGGGGAATGAAATAGAATGTTTTGTGGTCGTGTTTAAAGCGAAATAGTTTCGTGGCCACGAGTGAGGATCGGTGATGTGCTCCTGTTTGCCGGCCCGCGCGCAATTTTATTGCAAGATATTTATTTGAATTTCTTTTCAAAACAAAATATACTCTTTTATTGGAAAATAAATCCATAACTCCCCCATGTATTTACTGGTGAACACACAGACACATAGAATTTAATTGAAATTGCTTTAATTACATTAGAATGAAACTGCTTTTCCCCTTAATGGACGTACCTAAAATTGTAGATTTTGAGCAAACTTTGCGATCTTTTTGTATCGAGCCAAAATGTGTCAATCGTGTTTCGGCCAACATAATTCACTAAGGAAAATTTTTATCTTGCATAATGATTAAAAAAAAGGTGAATTCGTAGTTTTTCATGACAAAAAATTGATTTTCTGCGCACCTATAAAGCGTGAAAAACTGCTTTTGGCGCCCATTTTACATGACCCCGAACGCGGTTGTAGTACCGCCGTCCACCGTGCTACAGCGCCGCGGTCTCCATGCGAGACGAGGGGTTAAATCGTATTTTTTTCTGGCTTAATACCCACACCTAAAATAAATCTTCTTCACATGGTAGATACCATATCCAGCTAGGAGCATGATAATTTACGTATATAAAATTTTTAGGAAAATCCTTAATTATCTTTGGTACTCACCTTTTTGTATCCAAAGTGCATTCTATCATATATACTTCCCCGTCTCCCCTCAGGATGAGCAGGGATTCCGAATCGGGAATTGGGCGTGAAATCCACAGCCGTGTCCCCGAGACTGTCCAGGATGGTCTTCCCGGCTAGCTGACTGGATGGCTTCAGCCCGATTGTGATTATTTTGACGAGTTTCGGACCGTTTTTTAAGGCTATGTTGTAAAGTCTGAAATTTAAAAAAAAACATATCCTTTAAAAATGTTTTTCTCCTAAAATAAATTGTTCGTGAAGCAATCTTGTGGCTAAGATATAATTCCTAATTCTAAGGCGTTCCTTAAGCAGGCATGCAATTTAATTTAAATTTTTGAAATAGGCAATACTTCGAAAGTCTAGATGATTACAACCTAACACGATTTACTCTGGTCTTATAGAGATTTACAATATGACTAGCATATTGTAACTGTTTGCGCCAACGAACACCCTCGCATTTTGTATTAGTTATGTTAGCCGGTATAACCTCTCCTCACTTCCGTTCCCTTCCCGAACGGGCCTGTCTAATGGGGGGGCTACATAGGGGGCCTCATTTTTCCCCTCCAATTAGAGGTGCGCTCTGCAAAAGAGAAAGAAAGCAACACGCCTCCGGTGCACAGCGGCAGTGGGAGTTAAGTACAAACAGTAACAGTATAAACTTTCGTCGTAACCGCTTGCCACAGTACAATACAATTCGTCGTAGCGTTCAAACAGTACACCCCAGTGTACTTTTCGTCGCGCACCGCCCCAGTTGCAACACAGTTTTTCGTCGTCTCACAGGGCCGCGGAGAGAGGCCACTAGCAGCTACCCTAGGTAAGTGCCGGTTCCAATCTTGAGCCGTTTTCATTTGTTGCTCCCTTTTTCACAACAGCTCATGTATCCGTCGTGCCGACTAACGTATTAAGTCAAATTTATAGCAAGTACATTTGTCCAAAGACCGCCAAGTGCCACGTACGCCATTTTGATTTGGCTCATAACGAATCACGCTGATACAGTCCACCTAATCGTTTAACCCGCAATACGTTTGCGCTATAATACCCGCAACAATTCTCGCACATATAGTTAGTAATCATTCAATCCGAATTCGAAACCAGGAACCTATGAACCTGCGGCCTAACCAGTAACAGATTGGAAAAACTGACGTCGGTAAAGAATTATGTTCCTACTTCGTCTGATAATGCAATAGGGATGGTGGGATCATGGAGTTTAAAATACACATATAGAGCTGTGAGTATAAATTTCGGTCCATATAGCTTGTGAACTTGGTTGACCGTTTTTTAAATTCTTACCTGATTGTATTATCGGAGAGCAAGACCAGCACATGTGACATTGAAGTGGGATGCCATTGAACTCTTCGGACTTCACCCTGCGAGTACAGGAACCGTTCGTCTAGTGAGTAGCTCCTGCAAATAATAAAAAAAATATTTTTTATCATAATATAAAACAAAATGGGAAAGGTATATATTATATATATTGTGTTAACTATATATATATATATATATATATATATATATATATTAAAAATTATAATACATAAAAACGCAAAACCATTTTTTAAAAATAATGGCGACTAAAAGTAAAAAAACTGCGGTAGCCAACGAGCTTACCAAGCGTCGCAACTATGGCAAATATCCCCCCTATGAAGAAATCTATGGGGGAGGTCTATGTTCAGCAGTGAACTTCAACAGGCGGTAACAATAACGAAATTTTTAAAAAAATAAAAATTATTTCGTAGACTGCGAAGCATGCCTAAATGCACTAGGACAGCGCAAATCGCGCAAAATTCTGAATAATGAGAGGAAGCTGGTACCACGCAGTAAGACCTATGTAGGCTTTATGCAAACGTAAAGTGAATCAGCAAGCATCAGCTCATCTTGTCTCGTGGTGGAATTACTATGAAAATTTCGTAGCTCACGACAGACATACTGCTATCATTATTGTGTATGGTTACAGCTTGTGCTAGAAGCTAGATGTAAAATATCCAAATCGTTTATGGATTGACCAAATAAAGTTGTACAATCCGTTACAGAGGCATTAAACAGAGTTATTTTGCAATAACCGGCCAAATCTTTTATACTTGGTAGAGCCACGCTGCAGCTATATTATGGTTGTATACGAATGGGTCGGCTCGACCGGGAAAGGACCACGCTCTCACAGAATACCAGCGTAAAATAGCAGTTCAATGCTGCTGTGTTTCGTATGGTGAGTGTAGAGAACCGGAGACCCTTTTTACTGCGACACTTTTCATCTTATACCTCAAGGCTGGCAACGCATCAACATTTTAATTCTTAATCGACGATAAATGTAGATGTCTATGGGCCACAGCATCCACTTACCATCAGGTGGACTGTGTGCTCGTTTGTCACCCTTATTCTATAAAAACAATCAGCAGAGAAGGTTCAGAGTAAGTAATATAGGTAAAGATTATTATTAAGAAAAATTAATTTAAAAAATCTCAAAGGTTCTGTCCTTTTTATCTTTTAAATTTAAAATGCATGTTAATGCATTATTTTCACTGATTACATTCGTAAGGGTCGATCGGTAGGCAAAACCGTTGTAGCCCATAAATCACATTCAATTTGGGGTAATTTCATCAATTTAAGTTAATTTAAGTTTAAAATTTGGCTACTATTTGAAAATTAAACCTGTACATAAAATTTGCTTATACACACACGCACGCACTCACGCACGCACGCACGCCCGCACGCACGCACGCACGCACGCACGCACGCACGCACGCACGCACGCACGCACGCACACACCCACACACACACACACACACACACACACATATATATATATAAACATATATATATATATATATATATATAGTATATATATATATAGTAAGTATATAGTAGTATAGTAGGTATATATATATATAGTAAGTAGGCGATATTTTTGGGAGATTTTGACGTTATGTTACGACCACGCTCTCACAGAGAACCTGCGTAAAATATCAGCTTAACGCTGCTGTTTCGCAAGGTAAGTGTAGAAAACCGGAGATTCTTTTAACTGTAAACGAGGCATTCCATCTTAGTCCGCATGGGACACAACGCATCTGCATTTTAATTTGTAATCGAGGATAGATGTAGATGTCTCACACACAGTTACAGCAACCACTCACCACCAGGTGGACTGTGTGCTCGTTTATCACCCTTAACCTATAAAAAAGCAGACAGTCAATGACGACAGCATCTCAAGAAGCCGACAAAATAACTTAAGATTTGTAACTTTACAAAATAACTTAAAATTTGTTTTATCACTTATCATTTTTATTAATAGTTTAATTGACATTTCATTGACAATAAATACACAAAATGGCACCACTTTCAAATTTTGATAAGTAACAAAACTATTTTTAGTGAAAATATTTACTGTCTTTACATGACAGATTAGGGCTGGGTAAGTATTGCACGACAGTAAGGCACCGACAATATTATAGAGTCACCTCTCTTTAATTCTCCGTTTCAATGACATTGCCAGTTGCCTGGTAGACATCGTGTCTTGGCTATCTAATGATTTTATAAAAAAAATTATGAGCTGTATATCTAATCCTACCAATTCAAGTATTGCTCGAATTTGCGTATTAGAGTAGGTAACACCTAAGCTAACTAATCATTAGTTAGAATGAAAATTTGTGGATAAATGTGAAAAAATATCCATTGAACTCAATTTTTATCTTTAGCTGTTAAAATATTTTCGTCTCTACTTTGGAGGTTCTTGTTCAAATTATTAAAGTGGCTAAAAAGTTCTGCCAAAATTGCTAATTTCAAGAGCCAAATAGGATCAGAAAAACGATTAGCATATTCAAATTTTGCATCTTGTAAGAATATTAAAAATTCAGCTCTCTGTTTTAGTAATTAGCCCTGAGACAGATGAAGTTGTAAGAGTCGCATAGACTAACAGCACTAACATCTAGATAATAGTAATAGTCTCAGTTTTAAAACTCTTGTCAAACCCTTTCCTTTGGATAGCCACCTGACCTCTGTGTGATAAAGATTTTAATGAAGCGAACCCATATCTTCACAAACGATTCTGAATAGCCGGGTTTGCAAGGCTTTGCCTTTGAAAGAATTCACAATTTTTATTACCTCCTTGAGCACGTCATTTAAATCAGAAGGTACCTTAGCAGCTAGGGCCTGCCGATGAAGGAAACAGTGTGTCTAGGATATGTTTGGCATTATCAATTTTAATTTCGCTATGACAGAGTCACATTCCACTTATATTATGGCTACAGCATGAATAGATCATCTAGGACGGGGAAATACCATCCTGCCACAGAAAACCAGCTTAAAATAGAAGCTAAATGCTGCTGTGTTTCGAGTGGTGGGTATAGTAAACCGAAGAACTCTGTCCAATTAGTCATAATTTGAACATTTAAAATTTTTAATTATTGTGTTATTTTGGCGGACAGGGAAGTTGTTAAAATACGTTTTTTTATATTCTTATATTGTCATCCAATTCTGAACCATGTTCAAAATTTCAAACCTGTAACTCATCGGGAAGTTAGTTTAAAATCACTTTCTAAATTCGAAACAAGCTACATACACAAAAACGAGTTCATAAAAAACATAGTAAATTATTAAAAAATACAGTTTTCTTTTTCTTAATTTCCTCAAACAGCTTAAAGTTAAAGGAACCCACGAACTTGACACGGCGAGGCGTGGATGTCAGTTACCAACATTAACGACCAGGTGGTTTTAAAACACGGCTCCATTATCGGCGGGAAAACTCGCATTTATTATTCTTGGCGATAAATACAGCGGTGAGGCGACGTGACCGTGGATACGAGCGCGGGAAAGCGATTAAAAGTCCGCCATATTGTAGTCTCTTTTTATTTTTTCATTATTTATGTTAATTACACATAAATAAGCCGATTAGAGTGATCGTTATGAAATAAATATATTTATTTTTTTATGTATATTTATTTATAAACGGTGGACTTAATGTCTTTAAGCATTCTCTCCCAGTTAACCCTGGGCGTAGTGAGTAATTTTTTTGTTAATTAGTTAATTTATACCTACATAATAATTTTGGTAACGCAATAGTTAAGTAAGATTATCATTTCTAATATATTGGTTATATTTTTACCGTCTGGAAAAAAATAGGGTGTAGCAGGTGAACGATAGAAGTCCATGGCACTGATATTTTACAATTTCTTTTACATTAACAAATTATGAAATTGATCTATCCATAAATACTACTAATTTGGTGCGTATTATTTTAATTTCCATAGTTTTTAATTAATTTATTTATTTAGTTCAACATTTATGTTTTAATTTTTTTAGTATCGCAAGTTTATTTCTAAGTAGTAGTATTTATTGATAGATCAATTCGTAATATTATATTAATGTAAAAGAAAACAAATTGTAAAATAGCAGTGCCATAGGCTTGTATTCATTATACATTTTGTTACACCCTGTTTATTTCCAGACGGTTAAAAAGATCAGCCTATATATTAAGACATGACCTGTACAAGAAGTAAGCAAATAAATACTTGAATACGTAAAAGTATAGCAAAATATTACTTAAAATCCTCTTTGAATAAATTAATAATAAAGGACATACAACAATATAGTATACGGTATCCAACAATGCACGGTAATATTGTAGTGGCGTGAACCGTGCAATGGCGGTTTAAGAATATCCGCTGCGCCATATCGTCGCATCTCGTGGGTGTCGTAAGAGGCGACAAAGGGAAACTAAGACAGAAGATGTGTAGAAGCTTCTTCCTGATTACATCTCAAAATAATGAAAACCTGCGGATGTCAGCCCGCCTGCGAAACGTGGCAACTGTGGCAAAATCCCTCCTATGAGGCAGTCTAAGGGAGAGCCCTTTGTTCAGCAGTAGATCTTTGTTGGCTGTAACGCTCCATTACAGCATACAAAGATGGCACAATATATATAAGCCACAATAATATACAATAAACAAGATATATAACCATGTATTACGCGTAACTCCATAGTTCCGTTTACGTGGTAGCTACGTTGCAGCTATATTATAGTTGTAGCACGAATGGGTCGGCTCGACGGGGGCAGTACCACGCTCTCACGAAATACCAGCGTAAAATAGCAGCGTAATGCTGCTGTATTTCGTATGGTGAGTGTAGAGAGCCGGAGACTTTTTATTGGAATCGAGGTATTCAATCTTAGTGCTCAGGTATGACAACGCATTTGTATTTTGATCCTTAGTTGAGGATGAATGTGGATGTCTATGGGATACAGCATTCACTTACCATCAGGTGGACTGTGTGCTATAAAAATAGCATTAAAACAACGTTATAGTCCAATAATTCAGCACTTGTTACATACAAGTAAAGATAGAGCATTAAAAAAAAAGTGACAGACGGGCACGCAACACTATTCAGTAAGTTGATGCTGTGTGGGCCCTTATGGGCTA